TAATTACTGGTTTATCCTCAGATGCTTGCACTGAATTCACAATGATAGGCAGTCTGATGATTTGTATTCTTGTGGTTCTTGATTGGAGATAACAGTAAATTCACAAGCTGAGGGGTCAAATGTGAAAAGTAAGGCCATTCAGAATTTGCCTCAGAGTAAATAGATTTCACTTTCTTGCGTGACACAGGGCACGTAGAGCATTACAATGATATGTGAGTAGAACTAGCACTATAATTAACTGTATCATGCATCAAACCATAAAAGCTATCTCGCGTTCTCATCTCCTTCTTCATCAATTCTTTGTTTTGATCATGTGATTCTGCATTTATCCATCATTGATATTTCTCGCCTGAGAGGTTGGTCTGATAACCACTCAAAATGAGAAAAGTATAATTTCCTCTTTTTCCTCTTGAATAATCAGATGAGTAGACAATTTTGAATTTTGGTTGGCATGGAAATTGAGGCCTATTCCAGGTCGTCACATTAAAAAAGATTTATTTAATCTTAGATACATGTTTTCAACCAATCGTAAGTGAATTCTTTTGATTTTTATACAGTGGGTGAGAGCGCCACAGGGCTGAAAGCATGTTGTATTGTTGTTTAGTGCACCATACTTGTCAGTGTGTTAACAGAGTTGTGACAAATCTTAGCGAATTGTTGTCCAATAATGGTAGCATCCTATCACATTCATGACATTCATAAGTGGTATGAAGGTGGTGACATGCCAAAGACTCCATGTGATTTTCTTTTGTTGTTTTGTCGAATGCGTCAGACGTATCTTTTCCCAGAAGACAATCTGTGCACGTCTGTTTCTAGTTCTCATGAAGAATTTTTTTATTTCTGTTCTATTAACAGTCAAAATCAAAACATTTTATTTTTAAATCCATAAATGAAATATCCCCTCTCAACCTTTATTATATTAATTAATGATTTCATGTTTACTTCAGAAATTTAGAAAAACACAATTTTTAAAACAATTTCAAAATAAATGTGTGCATTATGTTTTGTATGTTGTAATTTTTCTTGCCAAAATTGTGTGCAATATTTTCAATATTTTTTTACTTCTGTGTGCGAAGCATACAATGGGAGTCTTTGTTGTTACCCAGTCTGTCTGTCAGTATGTCTGTTCCACTAGTATCTCAACAACTGGTGGTCGAATTTCAATGAAATATGGTATGTAGATATTGATTACCTAATTTGCATAATAATTTGTCAATTTTTGGCTTTTCCACCAATATCTTCAGTACTAATCATCACATTTCAATGAAACTTTATACACAGAAGATGTATTACATCGCACAGACCTGATTAGTCCCATATAGTTGTGTCCTTCTGTTTTCTATCTTCAGAACCTTATGTAAACCATATTTTTCCAGAAAAGCTAGAGGCATTGCATTGTATTATATTTATTATAATACAAAGTTATTTATTTATTTACTTATTTATTTATTTGTTTGTTTATACCTCTGTTACCTCATTCAGTGATGTCTGGCCATGCTAATTATCCTGTCTGGGCAGATAAAAAAAACCTATAAAAACATTTGCAAAAAGAATATATTCCCTGTGGATACAACACTGACAATCATTATTAAACTATTTAAATGCAGAAATATATGCCCAAAAATATAAACCTTAGAAATAAGGCATAAGAGTAGATGTATCAAAAAACCAACTAAAGAATGCAGCCATGTTACCACAAGAACAATTAACATTCTTATAGGTTATCTTCGTTGTTATTTGAATAGTCGCTGAGAAGTCAAAATACAGTGACTTTCCTTAAACCCTGAAATCCTATCTCGCCTTTGTACGAGTGAAACGAACCTTTTAATTGGTCAGGTCAAGTCATGTTGGCAAGTCAGCCAAGCAACAGGCTGAGAGGCAGTTGACGAATATATTATAGTCACTATGGTGTATTGTAAACCTACTTTATTGCTTGTATTTGTCTGGCCCGTTCACAGGAATGTGTTTTCTTGTTTGATTTTATTTGATGGGCTGTTGTTGTTAGTACCTGTCGCTTCAGAATGACCGTATTGTTTACAGTGTGTGGCTTTATTGATGATTAATGCAATAATGTCGCTCCTTTATTGTGCGTAAGTTGTTTTGAATTGATACTTGTTAAGTAATTGATAGCAACTTTTGTGTTATTGATCTGAGATTAAAATATTTGTTGCGATACTTGAGGTTATGGGGATGAATGAATGAATAAATAAATAAATAAAAAAAAAGAAGCATCTCGAAACGAAGGTTTGTAGAAAATCGTCACTTGAAGTAAAACCAGTAAAAATTCAGTGTACAGTATGTGAAATAGGGAAACTAATGAGGTGGTAATCAATTATAACAAAACAGTGATTCAACATTTGTTGGTGCAAATTTAATACAACCAAGTGTACAATGTAATTATAGTAGTTTTTTTTCAAAGTCTCTTTAATTACTAGTATTTGAAACTGGATCATCAATGTTCTCTCCAACGTATAGTCTGTCATGACAATTAATTTACATATTTGGGTTCAGTCTGGTGGTCTGTCCGTGCGTTCATCATCTCTTGCACATGCCTAGACTGTTTTTATTAGTACAAAGTCAAGTATAATGGGATATATGAGGTATGTGACAGTGTGGGGTCAAAATACGTATTCTGCGCCCCAGAAAATTCATACTGTGGCCTATTCTGAGTTCAAGCTTTTTAAAAATGTAAAATCATAGACTCATAGACGGCAATGATTTTTAAGCCCGTTTATCAACGCAATCTGGATGTTTCGCGTGAAATATTGTTATATAACATTTCTGGGAAATAAGTACAAAGCTGTTGGAAACAAATAAATTAAAGCTCAGACAACTATTAATTATTAGTTGTCTGAGATTAAAGTAATTGGCTAGCTATAATTAGGAACAATCGACAGATGAAAACGCCAAAATTGCTCGTTCCCAAAGAGGTAACATGCTTACACACCCAATTACGGGTTTTCAGTGGCAAATTCTAAGGTCACGAAACCATGAAAACAAACGTTGGGAGTAGCTGAATTATTAGAACAAAAACGGAAATTATATTTTGCGAGGTCATTATCTGGGATATGATTTGAGTGGTTGAATCATAAAAAAGAGAAAGAAACCACGATTTCGAGATAAAAAGGTGTTGACGACCGTTACATGCACCACACAGTAAGAGAGTTTATTGTAGTGTTTTGTAAACAGTGTCTCGCTTCATTCTTGCTGCCTTTCTGTTATGGTACGGTTTGTCTTGTTCAGGATTTGGTGGCCCTGATACAATTCCGTTTTTATTTTGCAAAAGTTTGAGCGTCATCAAATTCGTGGTGCTAAAAATGCATGTTTGCAGATTACAGAACGTTTTTTCTCATCAAAAGGCGTTTGGCCAATCAAAAATCATAATTCACACAGCGGTAAGGTGATTAACATATGACACAAGTTTTGACCCCAGAGACGTACTACAGAATAATTTTCAGACATTTCGAAAAAACAACTTTCGTAAAAAATTAATTTGCCAAACTAAAACATGGCAAATTTCTTGAAAATAGCACAATTCAAGAAACACAAAAATACAGTAATTTCTTCCTTTGTAAGCTCAGTCCCTCAGGTGTTGAGGAACTGTGTCGTAGACCAGCATTCAACCATAGTGTATGTCACTATGATTTCCTGACAGTTCAAAATTATCGGAAAAAAACGTTTTTTTTTTTTTTTTTTAAAGATATTTGTGAAACTGAAACACTGAAACATTCTTTTTATATAAATAGTATGGTACAAGTAAAAATTATGATAATTTGATCTACAGATGTTTTATTGTCTCGAAAACTGGCAAAACGTAATCTCAAAGACAGAGCTACATGTACATCACGATCCCAAAACGTTGCCTGGACCAATCACAAACAAGAATAGACAATGAATTTTTGGATTAACACCTTTGTTTTCCCCACGCTAACCAACTTTCCCCCACGCTAATGAAAAAAATATTTTGTCTTCTACTGACTTCCTGTTCCGGTCCGACTTTGAGAATGCTGACCCAAAACAAGTCGGTACAGCCAGGACCGGCCTGGGTGATTTTCAGACAGTTAGAAAATTTCGGAACAGCAACTGATTTGCCCAACTAACAAACACTAGCGTTGAAAATAGTATGAATTACGGTAGTCATCATAAAGAATAATTCCCGTATATAAATTAGTTGTTGTTTTCCGAATAGCCAGTGTGAAAAAAAGTCCTATCTATCACGGTTACTAGTACTGGCTTTTGTAATAATAATAATGACTTTATTGAAATCATACCCAGTTTAAGATCTGGATTTTTAAAATACCCGGTACAATAAAGTTTCAAATACATTCAAAATGGCAAGACAAAATACAAATGAAGACAAAATGAAAGCATAATAAAATGAAAAGAAGAGAACAAGGTCTGATTAGAAAAAAAACACAGAAAAGGTATCTCAATGAGTAATATAAATTATAAATACTGTAAAATACTTTATTTTCGCTTGGAATTAGTTTTCACTATTTTCGCTGAAGGAGTGTTTCAGTGAAAATAAAATCCAGCGAATATACCTTTTTTCCTATATTTTATATTCAACTCGGCAAAAATCGGTGAAAATAAATACCCAAAAAGTCTTTTCAGCGAAAATTAATTCCAGTGAAAATAAATGATTTCACAGTATTATATGGGCAGCTGGTATTTTTTTTTTATGAATGTCACTTTCTAAATTGAAGCATTAAAAGATATATTTTGCCAAATAAACTAGTGATTCTTTATCTTGTATTTTAGGAATGTCTACAGCAATATCAGATTTGTGGTATGGAGGAACCTGTTTCATAGAGAAAACGTTTTAATAGAAAATGGTTTTCATCTTCTATTTGTTTTTCCTGACAGTAGTGGCATTTTCTCTGTGTAGAGTACTGTTGTGCTCGAGGAAACACTGATCATGCATGGTACATTTTGTAACCCCTTTACAATTCTTTCTTCTTTGTTGACAGACTTTATGTTTACTATGAGTGACATGCACTATGGGATCAACATCAAGAGGTTCCTCAGATGTGGATTTCTCATCCTATCTCTATGGCAACGCAGGTCAGAGTGATGGCATCTCAGAAGCTGAACTCACCCCAGCTGATCTCATCAACGACATTGAGTACAATGTAAAACAAAAAGAGAATTATGAATTTGGGTTTGATGTTGATGATTTTTTGCCAGTAGAACCGACATCTAAAAGAGAAACTGGAGAGTATTTAGGTGTAGAACTGTCACAGAATTCTCAAAATTCAGATGAAATTCCATGTCGATATCAATTGGAATATCCTCGAATGATACACAAGAGTGTTGTCAAGCCTGTAGCAGACTTCTTAAAATGTGTTGATACTTTGAAGGATGGAGAGTATGCTATAAACATTGATAAAAACAATGTAAATTGTGATGACAATGTTGTAAATGGCTTCATTGGTAGTATAAATGAACATGATATAAATCAAAATGAAGAATGCAGTATAAATGCAAGCTGTCTAAATGGTGATGTATATAACCCCACCGTAGACAATCTAAAAATAGATTCCTATCAATTGTCTTTAAAC